TGCATTTTGGAAGTAAAGTCACTGTCTTGCCATTCAGGGAGTATTCTTTATTTTTCAGAGAGCTAAAGAAGAGGCCCAGCAGAAAGAAACCAAAGTGAAACTTCTCACCGAGTCTGTGAATAGTGTTATAGCTCAAGCTCCACCTGCAGCACAAGAGGCCTTAAAAAAGGAACTTGACACTCTCACCACCAACTACCAGTGGCTCTGCACCAGACTGAATGGGAAATGCAAGACTTTGGAAGTCAGTTGCTTTTTTTTTTTAATTATATGTGAACCATAGTGATTAGACACAAGGACTCTGGTATAAAATTACTTAGGCTCAAATTCTTCACTCAGGCACTTACAACTTGTGACTTTGGGCCAGTTGTTTACCTTGTATAAACCTGTATTCTATCTCTAAAATGAACATAAAAATAGTACCTATTTCATAGAGTGTTGAGAAAATTAAATGAGCTACTCCGTTTAAATTACTTAGCCTAATGCTAAATAAATATCAGCAGCTATCATTTTAATTCTTATTATTATTACCATTATTTTTATTATTATAAGGTTACAACTACCCTATACATAAGTTTTCTCAGGATTTATAGAAATTAGTCTATTTTTTCATTTATTTGTATGTGCATGAAGTCTTAAGTATCTTAGCAGGAAGGTATTCTGTGGAAAAGTATTTATTATAATTTACATTAATAAATGCTGTGCCCTATAGTGTTCTTTACGAGACATGTTGTCTATCTCTTTTGGGTGGTATTTTATATTATATTTATTTATTATCATAAGTCCTGCTTTATCTTTCTCACATGCTTATTGAAAAATAGGTGATAAAGAATTCAGATATCTCAAATGATTACCATGTAACTGCATCACAAACTATCACCCTCCTTGTGAAAATTACCAACAATAAAGAGTGTGCCAAGGAATTAGAAACTATCTACTACCAAATGCTGATGCTGCCAAATACTGTTCACTAGTTGGGCTTTAAATTGAGGCCCCTTCTCCCACATGAACTGAGTCATTTTTGTAAAAATAGTTGATAAAGAATGCAGATGCCCCATTATTGTTGAAAAACATTATTGTTTTGGTATTTATATTTAGCATTTGATATTTAAAAGCAAATATAACTCAGGCCAGTAGAATAGACCTTGAAAGTCTTAAAAAATATTTTTACCTGCATCTAAGGTATTTCCAATATTATAATTTTCTAATTATAAAATGTGATCTCTGAGTTTCTCCATTGTAAATTCCAATTCTTTCTTTATTGATGAGTCCCTGTCACCCCCCTTTTTAAATCCAATTCATTCCTCATCTACAAAGCTAGTACCTTCTATATGCCAGGAACTATTATAGTTGCTGAGGATATAAAGTAAAATCTCTTGTATTAGTGCTATGTAAGTGCTACAGACAATAAAACAAAGAATGAGAATGAAAGGAACAACACTATAAATCTCAAGGAAGTCACAGGTAATTTGCCATCATGTTACATGAAGGAGGAACTTTTCATACCTAGGAAATTGCTTTCTGATAATATTTAAAAAAAACACTTATTTTTTTGTTCTTAATTTCTTTACATGATCATTATTCTTTGCTTCTTATTATTCATGTTGCTCATTTAAAAGATATGTTAACCCATCAGTAATCTATTTAGGGGTATGTTTTCTAAAGAGGTATTTTATTTTCATTAATAATAAAATTTATTACAAACAAAATTTTCAAGACTTTTAATAACAAATTTTTCAAGACTTTTTGTTGAATTATCCTTTCATTTTTTAATCTGTAATGGCTTTTTTAAATTAATTTATTTTTTATGGTGACATTGGTTAACGAAATCCAATAAGTTTCAGCTGTACACATTAACAGTAAGGGATATATATATTTACACTGTGTGTTCACCTCCCAGTTAGATTTCTTTCTGTCACCACATATCTGACCCCCTTTACCCTGTCTACTTCCCTTCTCCTCCCCGAACCCCCTACTCTCTAGTAACCACTAGTCTATAGTCCATGTCCATGAGTCTCTGTTTATTTGTCCTGTTCGTTTGTTCTTTTTAGGTTTATATCCCACATATGAGTGGTATCATGTGATTTTCAAGTTTTTCTGTCTGGCTTATTTCACTTAGCATGATTATCTTGAGGCCCATCCATGTTGTCACAAATGGCACTATTTCATCTCTTCTTATGGCTGAGTAATATTCCTTTGTATATATGTACTGTAATGGCATTTCTAAACTTTCCTAATATATTAAAGTTGTTAAGTCCCTTTTTATTCCTTTTCCACTGGTCTAGAATATACACGCTACTCATTTGATCTCAATGGAACCATTAATTATTATCCTGCATACCTTAGTCAACAAAGTCCAGCAATAATAAATGTTTTTATGCACCTCTCTAACAGTGATGTAGCAGGACCATTAGAATGGTTTAACTCTGAATTTATGTTCAACTGCCATATTATTGTAGTACTTTATTTCATACTCCCTAAATTAGTCAGTGCCATTGCCACTGCTGCTATTGGAATTATTATTTTAAATAATATTTATTTAGATTTACCAATGCTATTTTAGCAATTTCTATGATGATTTTGCTCTTTGTATCTTTCTTTTGCTTCTGCTCTTCTGTTGAGTGTGACTAGCACATACTTTCAGATTTTGCATGACTGAAAATGCCTTTGTTTTGCCCTCAGTACTGAGTAATTACCTAACTGAACATCTAATTATGCTGGGACAATTATTTTTTACAACACCGAAAATTTTTTCCTATTGTCTTCTGAAATTTCTTACTGTTAACAAGTTTGCTGTCAAATTATGGTTTCTTAATAATTTTCCGTGATAGCTTTTAATTTTCTCTATTTCTCCATTGCTTTGCAGTTTAATTCTATTTTATCTACATGTAATTTGCTTTTATTTATACTTTGTGACCTGATGTATTAATAAGAACAGAGAGATTATTTCTCTCTTTGGTGGACTCCATTATATTTTTGAATATTTTCTTTTTTTCAATCTCTCTATTTCTTCCTAGGGGAAATTGTTAGATCTATGACAAATCTCCCCATTCTGTATTCTCATTCTTGGCTTTCCTTTAATATTTTCCATTTTTCTATCTTTACCTTCTGGATTCTGGGTAATTTTCTAAAATTTGTCTTCCAGTTCTTGAATTCTCTCTTCAACTGCCTATTGCATAATTTATCCTTTGAGATATAAATATATTCATCTCCGTCTATGTACACATCTGCTTATATGTGTGTGACTGTATTTTTTCAAAGTCCATATTTTCCATTTCTCAAGTTTTTACTTAGTTATTTTGCAAATCTCTCCTTTTCTATAATCTGATTTTATGTAATTCTATTTCTTTAAACAATTTAAACTTATGTAATCTATTTGGTTGAGAGGTCTCAAGTTAATGTAATACACATGAAATGGTTTTATTTTTCTGATAACTAAAACCAACCATGTCCAACCTCATTTTCTGCCTAGTAGTTGGCTTCTTCATCAGCATTTCAGTCTGATCCCATAAATTTTCATTGACTTTTAATTATTAAAATTTAGTTTAATTTCAATTTTTTTCTCATAGTTTATTAAAATCTTCCACCAATTCAGATTAATCTTTTGGCTTCTGCAATTTATACAGGGGTGGGAGTGATAAAAAATGATATTTCAGTACTCTCTTCTCACTGAGTTTCTGGATGGTGATCTTCCAGTGTTGGTATGTAGAAGAATACATAGAGAAGAATGCACTCTTAATCTGATATGGCTGGCTACAATTGCTATATCATTTTGTTAACACCCACACACATCTGGGATGGTGCCTTTTATCACCATACCCTGCAGGTTATCACCATTGATCTGGCTTGTTCTCTATAGACTTGATATGGTCTGTGGGGGATCCCAGTTGGCCTTATTCATATGGACTTTGAACCTTCTATAAATATTTCCTAGGCTTACATGATACCTTGCAGTATTCAAAGAATCACAGACTCTTTCCAATAGTCTTACACCACATTACCTTGAAAATTATACCCTTTTGACACATGCTTCTATGACCCCCTGGAGTCTTATTTACCCACCACATTTCAGTTCAGTCTGTGGGCACTGACAGTTCCCACCTTCCATAACTCTCAGGAATGAGAAAATTGAAAGAGTTGCCCTTGATTCCTTTTTGGCTATACTAGCAACTCAGTAGGGAATATATGCCAGCCATCCCTTCATTAATATACCCACCTACTTGATGAGCAATAATACCCTTTTAAGTCCTGTAAAGAAAAGGGGCCGGATGAGTTTATCCTAAACACACCCATAAAATGGTGAGAAAAAAAAAATTGCCTAACTTTTCATATTCTCTTTTCTTCACCACCCCTCCCCAATGCTCTGCCCCATCAGCCCCTCTATTTAGAACAGGGCTTGTGAAAACTTATAACAAAAGTTCTCTTATCATAGAATGTAGGAAACTTAGTGTTTTATTTCTCAAGTATGAACTCTAGTTGCCAATCTCAAGAAAAATAGATGCTATTGGTGACTTTCACCACCATACTACACTTTATTATCAAATTCTTTACAATTGTTCTGTTATCTCTATGTTATAAATTGGGGAGTCTACCATTTGTTACAATTTTGGACGGCCTCTAATGACAGTGAATTTCCTCACATGGCTTGTCATTTTTTGGTTTGTGGGCTTACCTCTGGTAGGAATTGCTTTTACTGGAAATCCCTTCTGTTCTGGGCTGTTAGAAGGTCCTGATGAGTCTTTTCTTTTTGTCTCTTCCAGAGTCTGAGGGATGTTATATTTTACTCTCATGTATGATATAAACTTAGGTTTCAATTTCTTATGAGTGGATTCTTATTTTCTAACCCAGATCCAAAGGATTCTCAACTTCCTTATCAATTCTTTATACTCCAGTGGGTAGAGATTTTGTAGTGCTTGTTTCCAGGATACATGGCATATAACATTATTTTTTCCATCTCCCTTGAATGCATGACAGCGATGCTTCTTTTCCCAAACCAAGTTAGTATTGAATACCCTAGCTTTTATGTTGTATACCCTGTTCTGATATGTCAGTATTTTGGTAAGCTTGGTTTCCCAACCTCTACTTGCATGTATCTTCCTTCTTTGTTTTTGCCACCTGAAGGTTTTTAGTACTTGTTTCATAGACAAGCTATGAATTTAAAATGTTTTCCTTTACATTTTATTCAATGTTTTAATATCACTGATGCAGGGGTGGGGGAATTACCACAGTGGCTCCATTTACCATTTGGAATGGAAGTAGCTTTTTTCATTTGTACTCTCTTCAAAGTCAATTTCAATTCTGTAATTTCAAAGTAATTTTAAGTTCCAAACTGTTAAGCTTAACAGTTATTCTAAGTGGCTTTTAGCTCCAATTCAGTCTGCAGTACTATATTTTATTTTGCCAAGGTGACCTGTAAAGCCAGTACACTCAGCCTCTCCAGCTGTGTCCTTCAGATGCATTGAGGACACAAGAGGCCATCTATCCTGATGGTTAAATCAGCAAGGTAGTTCATTACTTCAATCTGTACCAAAGGTAATAAAACATATTACCAATTGCATCTCCTTATCTTCAAAGCTCTAAAGTCCCCTCGGGTGTTTAAGGAGATATTTATATTTTCCCACTGGGATCTTTGCCCAGAAGAAAGACAGCCTGGAGTCCAGCAGGAGCTGGAAATGACCCAGATTTAAGATTTCTATCACCTTTTAAAGCAAAATACTTAATTTCACTTTTTGTGATAAACTGTATGTAAAATACCAAGCAAGTATTTGTAGGCTGCCAAGGCAGATTAGACTGATGATTTTTATCAGTTATAGAGGGACTGTCTTCCATCATTTGAAAGGGCTAGGATCAAAGGTGAAAATGGGAAATCTGATAGAATTTTAGATTCTCCTAAAATAAAACTTTCTTCCTTGGCTCCTTTTTTGTAGAGGTAGCGGGGTAGCAGGTGTCGGTAATTGCGTTATTGTATTTATAGATTTGCCTAATATTTACAATCTGAAAGCTAATGGAAATTGACCATCTTTATATTCTTACCCACTAGTACATCTTTCTGCTTTTTCCCCAACAGACATAACCATAATCTGGGAATTTGCCTTTATTATTCATTTGCTTAAAAATATTTTATCACATACAGATGAATGTCTAAATAACGTATAGCTCAATTTTGCTTGTTATGAGCATTACAAAATATGTAACCTATAATATGTTGTTTCCTAGGGCTTGCTCTTTTTGCCCCAAATTTTTGTGTTTGATATTCATCCATATTGTTCTGTTTGATGAATTTATTCATTTTTACATCCCTTATTCTTTGATTAAATGTGGCACAGTGTATATATCCATCTTCCTGCCAGTAAATATTAAGGTTGTTCTCTTTCTTTTTAAAAATGTTGGTTGTTACAAAAAATGCTGAAATGATCATTCCTGTGACTGACTTTGTTATGCATGCAAAACCATTTTTCTGAGGATATGTACTGAAAATTGGAATTGCTAGGCTGTTGAGTATGTAAATATTCACTTTACTGAGAATGACAAATTATTTTCCAAAATGGTCATTACACTATACGCACCCACCAACAATAAATACAAAGTTTTTGTTAATGTATATCTTCTCTCACACTTGAAATTGTCAAACTTCTCATTTATATTAGTCATCATAGTGTAAATATCTCACTATAATCCTGACTTACATTCCCCTGATTATTGAGTTTGAATGTATTTTCATGTTTATTGAATATAGATATATCATTGTCTTTGAAATATTAGTTCAGGCTTTCCTCACCCATCCCAAGGTCAAAAAAAAATCTTCTATATATTTTGGTAGAAATCTTAAAGTGTTGCTTTTTTATGTATGAATTCTTTTATAAATTAATCAGTTTTTTCAATATATCAAAAGCCTTAAAATAGTTATATCCTTGAAATAGTTCGTACTTATATTTCTGATAATATACCACAAGGAAATAATTTGAGATATGGGAAAAATCCATACTCATGATGCTGTTCACCAAAAATTTATAATGGCAAACAAAAGTTAAAATAGTCTAACTAGTCAATAAATGTTGATTGTTAAAATAGAAAAAATATAGCCACTTAAATGAAACCTAAATTTTAATTAAAAATATCTTCTTAGTATTATGGAAAAGTTATATGACTTAATGTTCAATGAAAAGAGTACTATAGTTAAATCCATCCTTTAATTTTAACTATCAAATTAATTATATATGATAAAGTTTAGAAGATGTCACAGGAAAGTGGTAATAGCTGATATGTTGGGGTGTTAGGTTTGTATATGCATTTTTAGATATGCTTTTATTTTTATATTTCGCAGACTGTAATGTTAATGAATTATTTCTTTATTTAAAACAGTAAATCACTGAATCTTGAATTTATTCATGTAATAAAATATTTCCTTAATGATTTGTAATTATAGACGTATTAGTGATCAAAATGACTAGCCGCATTTTCAATTACCCACTGTGAAGGAAAGGTGAAAGATGTAAAATGAATGTTATATTTTTAGAAGTTTTAAAAATAGAAATGCCAAAATCTTGCCATCATTTTTCTGTTAAAATATTTTATCTTGGATATATGTTTCTTTCTTAGGAAGTTTGGGCGTGTTGGCATGAGTTACTGTCCTACTTGGAAAAGGCAAACAAGTGGCTGAATGAAGTAGAAGCTAAACTTAAAACCACTGAAAATATTCCTGGTGGAACTGAGGAAATCTCCGAGGTGCTAGATGTAAGTTGTGAATTAATCTAAATGATAATTTATATGCAGTATTGAAAGATGTCAAGTACCAAATCAAAAATAAATTCAAAGAAAACAGCACAGAGTCTAGTTGCTATGCCTCCTCCAGCACTGGCTCTTTGGATGAAACCTTTGTTTCCTCTAAGAACCTTCTAGTTTCAAGGTTTTAAAAAGGATTTAAATAACCTCTTACAGAGGTCATTTGCTTTTTCCTATATGACTGAGTTCAATGTTGACACTTTACCTGCTTAAATCTACTACAGACACTCTGCAAAGACACTCTGAATGCACAATTTTGTTCCTTTGGACTAAAGAGGATAATAATGTAAAATATTATTTTCAGTTTAAAAACTATATTTGTTGAATTGGAACATATTTTGAAATTATTTAAAATAATAAATGTATACCTTACGGAATGTTTGGAAGTATGGAATTAGCATACCTTGATATTAGAACTATATCTTTAAAACGTTCATACATCTTAGTACATATAAAATTTTACCTTTTATCAAAAAATCTACACCTCCCCCCAAAACCCTATTTATTTATTTATTTATTTATCAATATTATTTTATATTAGTTTCAGGTGTACAGCATAATAGTTAGACATTTATATAATTTACGAGGTGATCCTCCCAATAAGTCTAGTACCCACCTGACACTATATATAGTTATTACAATATTATTGACTATATTCCCTTTGCTGTACTTTACATCCCCATGACTATTCTGTAACTACCAATCTGTGCTTCTTAATTCCTTCATCTTTTTCACCCAGCCCTAGAAAGTGCATTTAAAATTTTAGTATATTTTCAAGTTTTTTTGGATGACCTTTAAAAAATAAAATTTAAAGGAGTTCGTATGTATAAACTTTGATTTATGTGAACTTTTGATATTTAATTAATCATTTATGTTCTATGTATTTTATTGTACTTCTGGTTAATCCTTTATATATATAATGAATATGTAGGTTTAGCATATGTATTGTGTGTGGAGTCTTATGTGGTATGGCCCCTGTGTAAATATGCTAAAATAAGGTACATAAATTAATCAAAATGTCAAGAAAATGCAAAATGTTTCTTTAGACAGAACAGAATTGGGATCCTAAAATGTCACAGCTAAAACCTAGACACTATTATATCCAACTTCCTTATTTTCACAAGAAAATTGTGAAACCTGAAAAGGTATCAAAGAACAATGAGAGAGGTTTCATGGGGACTGTAATTTGACCCTGTCCTATTTAGAGTTGTTCATTGACCAAACATTCCTTGTGAATCAACAATGCAGTACATCTTCCAAAAAATGATGAAGGATATGATAATGTGATTATCCTATTAATCACGTTAAAGGGCCTCATTCTTATTTTTATTGCCAACCAGTCCAAAGATGGCTGCTCTACCTCTAAGCCAGGTTTGTGTGAAAATGTGTGAAGGGCAAAGGGTTTTCTTTTAAAGAGACTGTGCTGTTTTTTAATTTGGGAAGAGAACCTCTTGAAATTCTTCCTACATATATTGTTAGAATTATATCACTTGGCCATCACTAGCTATAAGAGAAATTGAGAAATTGAGTATTTTACCTTTTTAAGTTTTAGAGTAGCGGGCACCAAAAAAAGAAGGTGGCTGTGAATCATTTTTAAATGTCTCATTCCATAATCTTGCCTTAAGTTCAAGAAGATTTGATTACAGCAACATTGTATTTTTTGAAATAACAGTGATCTTTCACATTTTATTATGCCAATTAAATATTGTTTTAAATTGATTCTAACTGAATTATATGTAAATCAGAAGATACTGAGCATTTTGTGTTAATTTGATGTATTTAGAAAAAGAAGAGAAACAATAATTATTGCAAATGTGTTTCAGTCACTTGAAAATTTGATGCAACATTCAGAGGATAACCCGAATCAGATTCGCATATTGGCACAGACCCTAACAGATGGCGGAGTCATGGATGAACTGATCAATGAGGAACTTGAGACGTTTAATTCTCGTTGGAGAGAACTACATGAAGAGGTATGATGATAACAGTGAAAAATCTCTTTAAACTGATTTGCATAAACATCTAGCAAGTAATGTTTGGCTTCTCAGATAAAATGAGGAATATTTAAATATTAGCTCAGTTTCAAGGTTTTAGAAACTGTCATGTGCTAAACATGGCTGAAATATTTACATGTGTATTACATCATTTTATTTTCTTAAACATTATAAAGTGTGGGTTTTAATTGGAAACAGACATACCAAATCTAGTAATGTGCTCAAGTCCACAAAGGAGTAATTTAGCACTCAAAATCAGATTTTATGTGACCACAAATTACTTTTCTCTAATCAAGATTAACCAATATGTATAGGTTATCCTCATGTTTGTCTACCCCTCTCTGTCTCTCCTTTTCTATTTCTCTACACACACACTCATGCACACAGATATGTTTATTATAGTCACCTGTAATACATGTGATTCTATGAGTACCCAAGATGTTGGATACTGTATATTCTTCCAAAATAATAAAAAAGTTTTTGTTCATATAACACAGGAAATTTTAAACCATGTGTATGAATTTTTAAATCAAAATTAAAAGAGAATACCATATTTCTCCCAATCAAACAATGCTTCACATACACTCTATTAAATCAAGATGAATTGTTTGTCAAGAAGGAAAAAAATGGCTCATAATGAAGTTCAGTTTCATATCCATTTACTAAGTTCATCTGTAACATGTGACATACTGTTCTAAGGTTCTAAAGAGCCTATCCTTCATTAGTTACATTGATTACTTAAGCAAAAATTTATTGATTTCTTAGTATTTTTGGGACATGAAAACAATCTTATAAGATGCAAAAAGTTGCATCGGAAACTATCACTGAGATTTAGAGAACACAGTAAAAATGCATACATATGTGTGAATCAGTATAGGAAGGCATTTGGGGTAGCTTTCATAGAAAAGATTCATTGTAAATTAGATGAGAGCATTTTAAAATTAGAATAGGAGACAGCTAAACTAACAATTGGAGGAGGGCAATTCCAGGCAGTTGGATACTAGCACATGCAAAGAATTGGAAATATGAGAATGGTTATATATGCAAATCTGCAAACCATTTGGGTTTGTTAGAGCATAAAATGCAAATGGGGGAGTAGCTGAAGGTAAGCCTGAGCAAGTAGGCATGAGCAAGATTGTTGAGGGGAATCTGTGCTTCACCGACAACCTGATCTAGAACCATGCACTCAGGGAAACACTAAATGCTTTCAAATGTAAGAGGGAAGAAGAGGGATGCCATGATCAGATTACTTGACCTCTGAGGTGACTGTGGAGAGGGAGTGGTCTGAGAGATAGAGAAATTGCAGGCAGTGAGACCTGCAAGTAAGAAGTGATCATTTTAGCTCAGTCAAAGGCAAGATCATTAGTGAAAGGTACAAAGAAAATTAAAAAATCTCTAGGAGAGCATCTAGGTCTTGTATTAGATGATTTGGTATCTGAGATTTTTTTTATAAACAAGATTGAGAAATAAGAAGAAAACCAAGTGTGGAAGTGAAAGATCATGTGCCACCTCATTGAGTCTGAGGTGCCTGCTTACGTTTGATACCAACCAAAAGCAATCCGCGAGTCAAGGACTTAGGTGCTGGTAGTGAATTTCGGAGATGATACCAACGAGGACAAGTGAGGGAGTAGAGAGAGTAGGGAATGAAAGGTTGTAAGGTTGATAAACGCAGGGTGCTTTTATCAGTGTTTTCACTGTGAGTAATTGGGCTAAATCCTACTGGTAATTTTAAAGAAATCATGTAGAATAGGAGCTGCAACCCCCAGGCCGTAGATCTGTAATGGTCTGTGGCCTCTCAGGAGTCAGGCCACACAGGAGGTGAGCAGCAGTGAGTGAGCAAGCGAAGCTTCTTCTGCATTTGCAGCCACTCCCCAGTGCTAGCATCACTGCTTCAGCTCCACCTCAGATCATCAGGCATTAGATTCTCATAGGAGCTCCAGTCCCTGGTGCCAAAAAGGTTGGGGACTGCTGAGTATAACATCAGTGTTATAGAGCAAACTTAGAATTGTTCCATAAGCTAATGGAAACTGGAATGCTTACCCACCAATTGTTCTCTCTCTTTGTTTGAGGAGTGCCCTGGGGTGCATAAAATCCCAATAATTTTGGTTCATCAAGAACAATAAAATTGAGAAGTGTGGGTGTTTAAACTGGATCTAGCAGTGCGTGCAGCAAGTGGATTCAGAGTTTCTGAGATTGAGATGTTATGTGACAGGGCAGCTACAGGGTCTGTTGCAGTGTTTATGGAGCATCCGAGTGGGGCTATTCCATAATCCAGTAAGAGAGATACACACCCCTAAATTTAAGAAGAATGATTCAGACTAGTTATACCAGTGGAGGATTTATCAGGTTACATACTAATTAAACTTGTAGAGTTATGATGCAGCAATCCCTCTACTGGGTATTTACCCCAAAGACTTGAAAATTCATATCCAAAAAGATATTTGCACACTGACGTTCATAGCATCATTATTCACGGTGGCCAGGATATAGAAGCAATCAAAGTATCCTATGTTAGATGACTAGATAAAGAAGCTGTGGTACATATATATAATGGAATATTACTTGGCCGTAAGAAAAGATGAAATACTTCCATTTGCGACAACATGGATGAATCTTAAGGGATATAAACCTAAAAGCAACAAATGAACAGGACAAACAGAGACTCATGGACATGGACTATAGACTAGTGGTCACCAGAGGGGTGGGGGGGGGGGGAGGGGGGAGGTAGACGTGATAAAGGGGGTCAAATATGTGGTGACAGAAAGAAATCTAACTGGGAGGTGAGCGCACAGTGTAAATATATGAGTCCATGAGATCAGCACAGATAAGCCAAAAGAAAAAGAATCATGAACAGAATTTAGGTGTTTTACCCCAAATCAAGTTGTAGGTAGAGGAGACAATGTCTACAAAAGAGATGAGGAGACACAGTTAAAGAAGTAAGAGGAGACCCCATTTAAAACCAGGTGCTTAGGAGGTAGCAGACACGAAAAAAATATATATCAAATAGAATAGTGAGTCCCAGTAAGATGAAGCCAGAATTGTGCAGAAAGGACATCACTTATGACCTTTACTAGAGCAGTTCTGATGACATTTCCCCGGAGATAGACTGGTGAAAGTACATTACAGAAGACATCAGAGAGGAGGAAGGGGAAAGCAAGTATGCAGTATCCTTGTGCAGAGCTTGGCTTCAAAAGGCAGGAAAGGTCCTAAGGGGGCATAGCCAGGGAGGTATGCAGGAAAATTTTTATATATTGGGGGTGAAGTTCCAGTCATGTTTTCTACTGGAAAGAGTAGGACTTTGTCCAGTCTTGAAGAGAAGTAGGTGATGGTGGGGCAGATCACTGTGACGGTGCCAGCAGCGAGCCTCCACACAGTCCTTCATTCTGCCACTATCTTTGTTGAGTAGGTACTTTATCTGTAACAACATAAGGGACTGGGCTTGGCAAAAGGGGATTCTCGACAGGCCTTTGGCCTTTTGCCCTCATGGCACTGTTACTGGACTTGAGTAGAAATATTCCTAGGTGGCAACTCATTCATAGGTCATTTACATTTGCATTTCGATATGGAATTAGAATGTGCTTTTATTTATATTTGAATAATAGTTTCAGGATAGAAATTGCAGTTCAAGCAAAAAAAATCAAAAAACAGATTGTAAAACTGACCTGCGTGAAGCTATGAAAAGATCTGTTTTATTTTTTTAGCAGTGATCAGTCTCTCTATTCTGTCCTTAGGAATAGACCACTTTCTACCTTGATCTTGGCATCAGATTCATTTATGTACTACTCTTGCCAGCCTTTAGTACCACAAACACTACCTATGTCTTTATATTTCAAAGGTCTTTGGTGTGGAATCTGGCATTTTCCCCAAATTAATTCAACTCAACAACAAATGTTGAACACCTACTCTGCTATATCCAAGCTGAGTTGTTAAAACATTGAATACTGAATCAGAAAAACTTGAGTGGGAATAGCCCCTTGCATTAGTCAAGGTCAGACAGGTCACAGAAACTACAGAGTAACTTACACAGGGAAGGTTTAATACTGATTTGTATTAACTCTTTATTGGGAATTAGTTTTCAAGAGGCAATAGAAGAGAACTCAGAAGAATACCTCAAGGCTGAGGAATATGGTACCTAAAGAAGGAACCAACTTGCAAAATGAGAAATTCT